ATTAAAAGCGGTCTAAGGATGACTAAGAAAATGAGCACATTAATTTACCTATTTCCTTTTGAAGTGGAAAAAACGGAATATTTATCAAGTTCTTCAACTTGATAATCTTTAATTTATTTTTAAATGCTAAATAAATTTTCAAAGAATAGTCAAAAAAATATCTATGACTTGCATTGTAAAATATGGTGAGTATTTCATATTTATAAATTTTTAAGGTATATAATATTTAATTTATCTACGCCACGGAATCGCTCAACATATCTCTGCAATTCCATGTAAATTCTCCTGCTTTAATGGGGCTATCTATTTAAGATCCCCCGATCCCTGCATTAAAAGCCCCCATTTCAGAAAAGTAACAAGTAAAAATAAAAGAAAATAATATACGAATGTCACAGAGGAGTTGGACGGATCGATGGATCGGCGGATCGAGGCGGATGGAAACCAATTGGGTCCGGCGCAGAGCGGTCTGCCGAGTATAAATGTATCTGTATCTGCATCTGTATCTGTATCTGTATCTGAAGCTATATCTGTATCGGCTTGGCCAAGTGTTAATTGTTCTTAGCCATTATTAATTGATTGAATTAATGAATGAGTGGCGGCTGAGCGAGGCAGAAGAAAGAAGACGAACCGAAATCGAATCGAATGTTGCTGCAGATGATGAAATGCTGGGGATAGTAAAATAATGATTATGATACGACGATACGAGGCAGTGAACTTGAAAAGGTTATTAAAAATTCAAGTGCGGTAGCTTGGCGCTAAGGCAAATACCCGTACCCGTACTCGTACTATATATTCGTCGTATATTCATCGCTGTCTGACCCACATGAGTGTCGCTAGATCGTCCAGATAAATGCCCCTATATACATATGCACAGATATAACCGACTCTTGTCGCTTTCGTGGCACTAGATTTACAGTTCGCAGAGCTCATAAAGTGATTTGCAATTTGCTAAAGTACAACACAAACACAAACACAAATAGCGGAGTATGGTCCACGAATTCTAACGCACTCTTATCGCTGAAAGTATCCATAAGATTTCACAGAACTGCCAGATATCGCGGTATTAGTCAGAGACCTCTGTGCACTGGCATTTTTTTTTGTATTGATTTACATTCTTCTTTCTTTTTTATTGGATTCTATGAGTTATGCAAAAGTCAGCTCGAAATCAAGATAATAACTTTGACATCTTTATAGAAATTTTTATAATAAAGAATGAGAATTTCGGCAAATCAAAGGTTGTTTTTCTGAAAGCTTTTTAATACACCTGAAAGATACTACTGGAACCGTAATAAATGATTCATTCCCAAGTTTATTGGCATAATCTTAAGAGACAATAAAGTCATATTAATTATGGCCCCAAGAAAGTATATTCGAGTCCCCCATTAATAGTACGATGAAATTTTCCCTCAGATGAATATGTAATCACTTTGTTTAAATATCAAAACTAATTATCATTTTAATGTCCGCTTCGAAATACCGTTTGGAAAAACTAGTTTACATTCCAGACAAATTCTTTGTTACAACATTTGAATATTTGAATATTTTCCATAGCCCAACTTTGAGTTTGAGATGTCTGTCTATCTTATCTTGGCCAGTGATGGTTTATCTTTCGAGTTAGTCAGCCCAGAAGAGCTGTTGAGTATCTTGTGATGATTTGGTATTTTATTTTTTGGGGGGGCTTTTTTCTGGTCATTGCGATTAGGCTTGGATGTTGTTGCCTGGGTGTAATTTCACACAGATTTGATTAATAGGCAGCTCAGAATATGGCAGATATTTGCACGTGTCGCGCCTCCAATTAGCGTCCCATCTCGTAGTTGCGGCTATCATGTGGTGTCTACGATAATTGCATAAGCCATTACGGCTGGAAGTCGCATCGGATCTCCCATCGCCCAGTGGCATCCGGGTGACGCATTCAGGAGGCCAAATGAATCAGTCCCAGTGCGATATGTAGTATATATCCCCCACACACACGTACATATATGCATACGCACCACTCGATCTTAACAAAGTCAGCTTGGGGCAGATCAGTGCAGATTGTGTTGTGTCTTGGGTGTTTAATTGAAATGTGAGGCGGCTTGGGATGAAGGGAGCGGTGCGGGGATTGAATCGCGATGTCTAATAAATAAATTGGCAATTAAACGAGGGACACCAAAAGTCCCTTCCCGATTCCTCCCTATCTATGGTGATAAATATGCATACACGAGATACACGAGATTGATAAACAGCGGTGGTGTTTGTCCGCGTGATGACGTCGACAAGTTTAAAGCAGGCCTGCAGTTTTGTATTATTCCATTAGGATCAATTGCGCAGCGCAAAAGGCGTTAAAAGAGTGGACATTGGCAAAAAAAAAGGGTATAAAAACAAGCCGAGTTAGGCTTTTCTATTATTCCAAAATTAGAGTATAGGCAATAGTCTTTAATGATGAGTAAATGTTTGAAAGTGGTTTTTAAAATTGGAATTCATTATTTTTTAAATTTAATTATAGAATCATTTATTGTGAAAAAGCACAAATAATAAGGAAAAATAATAGGTAAATATTTAAAGCTTTGTGAAAGAGCCTTGAATACATTTGAAAAGAAGCTGTTTTCGAATGACAAATATGGGTTATATGATGGCCTTGAAACCGGGTTTAACGAACCTACATATATCGTTCAATAGCTCGAGCTTATTTACACAAGTATATTCTGTTTGAACATAAAGTTGACAAAAACGAGAAATGAAAGGAACCATCCATCGCTTAAAGGCGAACCCAACAAATGTTCTTTATAAACGTTCTTTATAGACCAAGTTCCGAGACAGATTCTCGAGAAGCAAGAAGGCCAATACATTGCGGATATGGTATGCGATTGTTCGATTATGTATTTGGATGGGGCCCGTATCTGTTTATCAACATCATTGTGTATACTATATCCACATCCATATCCATATCCATATCGTGACGTTGGCCGATGACGACGATAACCGAAATTGAGACACAAAAACCGAGAAGCGATGGGGACGACAATAAACGACAACGTCGCTCGTTTAAGCAAACAAATAAATAATTAATAAATTAAAAATGAAACGATAAAAATTGCTTGACGGCTTGTCTGGCTTTTGTTTTTGCCCAATGGAATAAATTCAATGGATGTTGGGGATCTTTTGTTTTGTTTGCTCATCTATCTGATTGTTTGTCGTTTCGTTTTTCGCCTCAAACAATTGCAGCCAGCAAAGACCAATTTTGATAATAACACATATACGCCCTATAAACCACATACCACGATTTATCAATGGCGTTGCGCCAATTGTTGTCTCATCCCTTCTATTAACGGCAATTATCGAATTAAGATGTGCTAAAATGAGCGGGACGGTCGGTCGGGGGAGGAATCGGCGATATCGCTGCCGTTGAATCCAATTTCCAATATATCCCCACACACACACATTCGGATACTCCGCGAAGGTGGGCGTGGCGTCGGTATCCGATAATTTCTAATGAAAGTTGAAAAGCGCCGCTCGAAGCGATTGGCTGGCGTGTGAATCCCAGAGTCGATCGAACCGCAACCCCCATCAAACGCGCTCGAAGCGCCATCGAACTTCCTGGGGCGAACTTCACGGCGATGCTGCGCAGTCGACTGGCGCACAGTGGGCCCAAATGCTATAACTCCCATTGTTTAGACTGCCATATTACTGATTAATTATATATCTATTTTTTTGCCAATCGAAATGTTTGAAACTAAAAAGTTGTACAGCATAAATAAAAACAACAAAAGCCAAATTCCTTCACCATTCTTAGCTGTGTTCTAAATATATAACAATATAATAACAGATCCCATTGGTTTTACCATTTACAAAATATTTATATAACCAGTTAAGGTTGTGTGTTTTTTAACGATAAATAAAACATTACCATTCGTGGAAATTACTAAAAGCACTCATTTATAAGCTGCTTTGTTGTTATTTCAAAGCGGTTCCTTATAATGTTGGTTAACATTAGGTATATAATGGCATTTTTAATTTTATTTATATTTGATTTGAAAAAACGTAATAGGCAATTTGCCAAGTGGCTAATGTTTACCTAGTCTATTTGATTAAGTTTAATTTATCAGCCAAACAACTAATTTGCATGCAAATGTAAGGAAACGAATTGCTTCAGATCCAATTGAAATACGTTTTTAAATTTCGGAATATATGTACATACATTGATTGGTAAATTTTAATTAGTTACTTCAACTACCTTTTTTCTTGAAGATAATTAGTATACATTTACAGAAAAGGTCTTTGGATTTATAAATTTAGAGCTTCTCTTTATATTGTTTAAGAAAATGTAATGGTTAGTAATCCGTAATAGGCATTTTAACAACTAGTTAATATTTACCAAATTAATTTGGCTAGCTTAATTTATTGGCCAAATAGATGATTTGCATGTAAGTGGTGGTGGGGTGCTCGTTATAATAATGTAAGAAACCAGACATGTACATATGCGCTTATGTACGTTGGCAAGGTATTTTAAAACAAGACAGTAAAATTCGAAATGCTTTTCAAAAGGCACAAGACAATAGGCTAAAATTTGCGATCTTTACATTCCTACCCTTCTTTAAATAGGCTCTTGTAATATTTGTGAACATGTTATTGCACTTTATATATATTTGATTTGTAAAACGTAATAGGCACCTTGCCAAGTGGCCAATGTTTACCAAAACAATTTGATTCATTTTTTGGGCAAACAGCCAATTGGCATTTTCCGTTTTGGCCCACTGTGCGATGCTGCGCTCACACTCACACACACGCAAACACAAGGGGAGACACGTGTGTGAGCTGCAGTAGAAGAAACGGCCGAAACCGAAACGAAAGCAAACAAAAAACGGGCCGAAAACACAAAAAAAGCTCGTGATCTTCGGGCGCTCTCTTCGCTCTGCTCTCTTCTGCTGCCGGCAGCGACGTCGACAGCGACGCCGGCAGAGACGTCGACGGCATGCAAACAGGATCTGAGCGTATATTACGTAGCGCCGGGCTTTAAGCCAACATCATTCCCAAGCGAACGGCCAGCGATCAACGTTTGGCCCAGCAGCAGCCGTCAACGAGAGCGATAAGGAGCAGCTGATTTTTGCTTTTGCTCTTGCCATTATCCATTATTTTATCTGGCATCAAAAACAACAACAATTGCACCAGAGATCTGTGACAAAAAACCAAAAAAAATCGAAAAACGGAAAACGGAAAAAAAAAGTGAAGTGAACTCTCCGGCGCAGCGCTCTCCCGCTCTCTCGGCTCTCTCTTTCGGCGAGACTTCGGCTCCGGCTCAGCGACTTCGGGTCGCCTCTTAAAATTACTTGCAAAGTTAATTTTAGTCTCGGCTTTTAATACCGTTTTAGTGCGTTTTCAAGTTGGTCGTGTTTTTCTCTCTCTCCGACCCGACTCAAATTCAAATCCCGAAAAAAATAAAATATACATTTTGAAAATAATCCAACACACAAATAAGAACGAAATAACAGTATAAATATCTAAAATACTGAATGTGACTTTTCGGTGACATATCCTCGTTACTTTTTTTTTCGGCTCCATTTTTTTTTCCAACGGAAATGTAAACCATTCGCCCCTAAGCCACCACCCCAGCTTCCTGCTTCGAAGTCCAGAACAAAAGAGCAACGAAATTCAATTACATAACATTTAATTGCCAAAAATAAAATATAAAAAAAACAATAAACAAAATAAAACCAAAAACAATAATATCATAATTCACGGGTTCAAAAACGCGCTCACTAATACAAAGGCGAACGCATTAAAAGACGGAAGTGCATTTTTTTTCGTTAAGCGGCAAAGCGGCGCATCCTGTTTTTGGGGCCTTCCATACACGCTCACGCACACACACACACACTCCCACTCCCACTGAGGACTGGAAGTCGCTCTCTTGCGCTCGCGTATAAGAGATCACATAACGGTAAGTGTGAAATACGGCTCGAAGGATCAAAAATATTACGGAATTAGTGAAGTTATACAGGATTCGAAATCTAGGAAAGAGTTAGTTTCAGTTTTAATAAGAATACAATTTACGGGCTCTCAATGATTTTATGTGTTATTCTAAAAATATTTTTTATAAGAAGGAAGAATTTTTAAACACAAAACTTAAGTTTCTAAATATCCTAGAAAATTGAATAAATTACAAATTTTGTTTAATAAATAAAAGCTGACTTAACGAGTTTGGAATATTAAGAGTATACCAAGGAACCATTAACATAATTAATTTAATAATAAAGTACATCAACCGACTATTATATAACATACAAAATTATACAATAGTAAATGTTTAGAGAATTAATTTATATAACCTATCTCAATACTGCATTTATTAGAAAAAAATAAAAGCACTTAAACATTTACAGCTATTAATCATATTGCAAAAATACAACAAACAGTCTTAATCATGAGAATATATTTGCAAGGGCGAAAAACCCAAGACCCAAAACATCTGTCTGGCGCAAATAAAAATAAACAAATTGCATAAACTTTGCGGCTTAGTGAGACCCAAAACAAAAGGTAAAACAAAACAAAATAGAAATAAAATAAACCAAACAAAGCAAAAGTGGAAGTTGTTAGGCAATTCTAATGAAAGCCAAGTGGGCGTGGCAAATGGGGTTGTTCCCCCCTTGAGTTGAGCTAGAAGTTAAGTTATACCGATTTGGTATGGCTTACATTAAATTTAGTGTTTAATATTTTCTTTAAGATTTATCTATCTAATCCACTTGAGATAAGAAAATGTGGCCTTTGTGTAATCCGTTAAAAATTTGTAAGTACTGCCAATTTGTGAATTGTCAATTTATGAATCTAATTTATTTGTGGCCCAGCTTACGATAATAACTTTTCATTTGCTAATTTTAAAATTGTTGCTTACTAAAACGTTCGGCTTAGGAAAAATAATGGCTTTCAAATGAAGTGCATTGTTAGTTAATAAAAAATTTCAGAAATAAAAAAATATTGGTTTTCTAGAGAAACGTTTTTATTTAACAAAAATCATTTTTGCAATATTATAAAAAAATGTTTAGGCGTTTTTAACAAACAATAAGCTTAACATAATGTAGTTATTATCTGTATATATTAAGAAATTCCTTTTGAGCGCCAAGCAACTTTTTTTGCAAGTCCTTTAAAATATTTTCGATAAGTTAATATACAAAATTAAAACGTTTTAACTTATGTAAAGTTAAATTCCTAAATCATATAAATTGACTTTTAAAGCAGGACAAAAAACAATTACATTTAAAAACTGGTTCAAATGAATGTTGAAGAAAATATTTAGGTCGTGTTTAGTTTTTGTCAACATTGTTTGCTTGAGTTTCCTTACGTACTCGCATCGCACTGTCGGATAATTTGGCACAAATGGCATTTTGTGGGTGGTCCACACCCACACGCCCATCTATGGCCATGTGACGCGCTGTATCTGATGGATACTTTTTGGGACTTGGGATTGGGGACTTGGGATTTTTGATTTTGGCATGCGCGATGCGGAGACACGGGGCGTTATTTAAGCGCTGGTCGCGCATGCGCAGCTTGTCAATCGGCGTCGGCGGCTTATGGGGCTGCTTATATGGCGTATATGGCTTATATGGCTTATACGGCAGGCAGCTCACATCTGGCGCCCCGGATCAGCATAGAAAACTTTCACTGGGATCCATCCACATGCGCCTTTTTTTTTCGAGTTTTTCGAGAGCCAGGGTAGCATGAAGATGCGTCGCAGGCGGATTTCCGCACACAAATTGCCCACTTGCAATGGCAATTTGCATAAATGTTGCGATAACAAATCACCTAGAAACAACTGCCGCTGACAAACAGAAATACTAATACTAAGTTCTAATTAAAAGTGCTGGCCGCCGCGGGGAAAAAAACTAATTAACATTTTTCGAACGCCGCGCGGAGCGAGAGGTGAAGCTGAAAAAGTTAAGTAAATAAAGGTGAGAAAATCAATTCATGACGACAGCGGCGAGTCAAGTGCCCACTTGAGTGGAAAATCAATGCACTTCCGCAAAAATAAAAAAAAAAAACGAAACAAAAAAATCCAACAGCAAACACAGGCAAACACAGATACAAATCAAACTCTATTTTTAATTATGAAATATTTATGGCACAATAAGTCGCACAATAATTGTAAGATTTCATAACGGTATGGGTAATAGAACACGATTAAATTTACCAGATTTACAAAGCCTTATTCAATTATCGACTTTATTATTATTCAACCAAAAAATATATATCCGAGCAATTATTTTAACGCTTTGCAGGCAATTAAAATTGGTTGCTTAATTAAACTATAAACTAAACAATTACATAACTGAATATTCAACGATGAGAATTCTTTCTAGGCAGTCCGTAAATATTTTTATTAACAATTGTTTGAAATATTTAACTATTTGTTAATTGCTAAAAAATAATTAATATTAAATTACTTTATTACGATGTGCACGTCTTGTCATTTAAATTTTCAAACCTTCATCAACTTACATTGAAATAATCTTCGGAAATTATAGTTAATAAATTGTAAAATGTTTAAGACCCAAATTAATTAATACATCAAATTAAAAATACAATTTATTTTTATGAGAAAATCTTTAGAATGACAACCAATAAATTGTTGTCATTTAAATTATCAATTTTGAGATCAGGAACTTGGCCATAAATATGCGCTTTTACTCCCAAACATGGTCATAAATTGAACACCTCTGAAGTAATCATCATTTAAAATAGATAAAAATAAATACCCGAATTATTGTTCTTAATGACGAACGAGTTTCTCAGATAGTCGGTCATTAATCAATCAAAAATATAGTCAAGACAGCGATAAAAAACGGCGGCAACTAAAATTATGGACTTGACTAATAAAAAATTGGAGCTTATAGGTTTATATATGGTTTGCTATATATATATATCACTCAAAGCGAGAAGTTTTCTTTTGTTGTTGTGTAAACCTTTTTTTTTTTTAAACTTATTGTTAATTTTCCCATAGGCTATTATATTTATTTATTCACTTTTTTCGGGGCTGTTGACGTTGCAGATATAAAAAACAAAACAAAAAGAAACACAATGCTGATAATAATGTCTGGCTTTTGCGGCTGCTATATGGCAGCTATATCTGTTGTTGATATCGTGTTGCGATCGTTTACACAACAACTTCGTCTTGAATGACAGCGACGAAGACGGCAGCTTGACTTTATTACTCATCCGCCCCGTGGTCGCACAACGCCGCATCCTCGCTGGCACGACCAGTGCCAAATGGCCCGGTAAATATTGACCCCCGTCTCGTTAATACACTGGGCAAATCAAGTTTATGTAAACTGCAAATTAGCATCACCGCCAAAAGCCAAATTGGAGCGTCTTCTTGGCCCGGCCCAATGTGTTATCACTTCATTAAAGTTGGCAACACGGCAAACAGGCGCGCCCATCATCATCATTTCGAATCTAGACATCAAGGTGTAATTAGTCACTCGATTCACTCGATTTGCATTCGATTTCGGGGAAGTGGCCCAGACCACAGACTTCAAACTCGAATTCAAACCCAGAACCAGACTACCGTATTCTGATAAAGAAGTTAGCGAAACTGGTTAACACAATGTGTGCAGGTTTTTACCAAAAAGGCGGCTTGATAATCGTTCTCTGACTATGGAGTTCGCTGAAATCCATGTTTGCACGTAATCGTTTGTTTTCCCGGAATTCGTTATAGCATGATTAAATAGGTAGAATAATATCTGATAAAATTCGCCACTTGTTCACCTCTTTTATAACGCACAAGCTGCTTTTAAGCACTAATCCTACCTTTTATTTATTACACATTTTATTGCAGCTCTAGTTATTTACCTCAATTGTAATGGTTTGCATTTGGAAGGTTGCTAGATAAATTCTATAATTTAGAACCACAGACAAACAATGGCTGGGAGTATATTAAATTATAGCAACTAAGATAATTTTAAAGGTTTCTGATAAGTACTCTTATGAAGGTAAATTATCAATATTTAAATGTTTCTTATAATTTGTTTTTATAACATTTTTTTTTGGCTAACTTAATAAAGTGTCAAAAACAGTTTTATGTCGCAGTACATGATAAAATCCATAGCCAACATTACATAAGCCCCGAACAGCAGCAGCCATGATCGGTGACAAAAATAAAACTAAAACGTGTTTACATCCAATATCGATGTTCATATATATATTTATATATATGGATCATTTATATGTTTGTAGGTTTCTTTTGTTGACGCTGACGAGTTATTTTGTGAATGAAATAAACATGAGCCCGCATGTAACCTCTAGAATCGGAGTTTCAAGGCGCTGGGAAAACTTCCAAGCCGTAGTCAAAACTTTCCACTAACAGGCTCCGATCTGGTGATGTTTTTTTTTTTTTTTGTATTTCTCATAGGGGGGCTTTCACCCAGAAATGAAATGGAGAAAAATAAATACGGTAGCCAGCCGGCCAAGCGATCATTATCATGATAAGGTGCGCTATGAGTTTTATGATCAGGTTTTTATTGTTATTTATAGCCAAATAATTACCAGCTCCCTGCGATAAGAGCCACCGTATGACCAGCCACGTCGCTGATGAGTCCGAATCCGAATCCGATTCGGAATCCGAATACGGGTATATAGCATCCAGACTCGTGGCCGCTGACAGATAAGATTTCGTATTCGTTTTCGTTTTCCCACTCGCGTTTCATAATATCACAGAGTGATATGATAGTGCTAGAAGCGTCTCAATGGCAAACATTGAACTTTGATGTGCTCTGCGATTATATAACACGTTCATTATACCCCATTATGCCCCCCCTTATTTTTTTTTCTTCTTTTTTTTTTTTTGGACTGGCTTGGGAAAGGCCCATGTTTTGCGACGCAGAAAAATACGGACAAAAGCGTAGAAATACCAAAAGCCAAACAATTGAGTTTAAGCCGCAGGCTGGGCAA